GACACTTTTAGTTGAATATGTGATATGCTTTTTTCATCATTCTTTTTTTTCTTCGAAAATGATAATAAAATGTTTTAATTTGGTGAACACAATAGATATTCAATGAATGATACATGAACCGCACACTTCGAATCAGCATCTATCATATGTGTTTCTTGTCGCCTATAACAAAAGACCAATGCTTTCTCGAAGCAAAATTCAATAAAGCTAGAATCGCGGTGAAAAGTGATTATGCAATTAGTTATCCTAATCGAAGTGAAGAAGAAGCACGGACACAAATTAATGCTTTCGTTATAATCTCTCGCCATGAAATAAACATAATTGATGCAAGTACGCCACGGTACAAAATGCTGCCTAAAATAGTTTCCCAAATCACTACACAGATATAATGTATGCATTATTTTCTTTTCCTGCATGAATATATTCTCTGTCACTGAACGTGACTAAAAGCGAATGTCTAACGCAGCTTCCTAGCGAAAACTCTACCATTCATACAACTGTAAACAACGCACTATGTTAATTTTCTCCAACACATTACTACATAGACCAAAAATCACCATATTATCCACTATTTCGAATTTTCATTCAATACACATTCAATCCAACTCCTCACATCAACATCCTACTCATCACAAAGCTGGAACAATCAAATACGACACAAATCCTCATCACATATGTGTATATGAGAGAGATGGAGAGAGAATGAGAGTCACCGTATTATTACTTAATGAATGAAATTTTTTTCTTTCCTGTTATTGCATATATATACATCGAATAACGAAAAAGTGTAGACGGCTTTATTATACAGTGATGAATGAACAGAAAAAAAAGTTAAGTTGTATTGGGTGAAATGACAACAAAGAGAATAATGGTCATTTTGTGACGTAAAATGATATGTATAAAAGAACGGTGAGGCGTGTGAGTTGAGCGGGTGGGTCTTATGGTATTTTGAGGTTTAATTCATTTTTTCATGAATTTTTATTGTTATTCGAATACGTGGTTGTCTAATGAAGTATTAGAAATTGTTTATGGGTATTTTTATCATGTATGGAGCTTGTCTGGCTAACGGTCAACTAAGGTGATTAAAGTAGAAGTTTAACTTTTAAAAAAATAAGTTATACTATTTTGTAGAGTACATTTCTTGGTCTTAGAATATATAGTTTGAATTCCGTTATCTCTTTAGAAGAAGAAAAATTATTCGCCAGAAGTTAGCACCATCTTGGTTTAAATGTATGTCATCTTTAGACTGTTACAGAAAGAAAGAAGAAAAAAGTTAAAAAGCAGTTGTCAACTTAAGTTTGACATGTTTCAAATCTACGAAATTCGGGCAGTTCATTGATATCAATAATAGCTCCTTTGTCTTTTACGAAAAAAAGTAGAAAACTCCTAAAAATCTCATAGATTCTTGGGTGAATGAGTTACCAAACAGGGTCTATAGTTAGGTTTTCTCCATAACTGCTTGATCAAATTGACCTTAATGTACAAACCTTTGATAGCTTTTCATAGGCTACCTAGGGGCTATATAAGTTGCGATTTATCTTTGTCCGTTGAGAAAAAGTTAGTAACGCACTCACGAAATATATTTTTCCTATATGTCTCATTTCAGACTTTACAATAAATTAAGTCATCTTCAGACTGATTATTAATTATTAATAAATTAATAATTAATAATTAATTTTTTTCATAAAACTTGACTAAAGGGTAATCGAAGTCTGGGAATCCAAACTTAAAGTCAGTTTGTTAAAATTTTGAATTAAATTTTTACGGTCAAAGGAGGGATTTTTGAAAAAATAATGAAATCTTATAAAGGTTGATGAAAATAAATCGAGGTCGAGGAATCCGAATCTGAAGTGAGCTGTTAAAAAACTTAAATATTTATTTGCATAAAAAAAACATGGTTTTCTCGCTTGACTATTGTCTAAGAAAAATCCAATATTTTTGAGAAAACGAGATTTGAAAGAAAGGATAATTCGAAATATGGAAAAACATTTTGCATATTTGCAGTCTGTGTTTCCTGTTCAGCTGTGGTAGTGTCGTCACATTGTCTTTGTAGGCATGAATCGGAGTGTGACCATATGGAGTGAGCTTTTTTGAGTAACTCGTAATGTGATGAAGTACTGTTTACACACCACTGACATTCTATCTAATGTGTGCAACATTGAGGGATTGCTGTTTACTCGTAGTGGCTGCTGAGTGAAAGGGCTTGTTTTGGGCGCACTCTGTTGAAGTCCAGAAAAGTAGGGTTAAAAGAATCTTGCATGTGAAGTTATATCCTGTAGAATAAGTTCATAATAACCAATGATTGTTTAATGTAGTCCAATAATACAGCAAGGGACTACGAGTAAGTCCTGACAGAAGTGCTGGCAAACTACTAGTCGCTTAAATTGTGAACATATTCTGATGTTGTTTAGCAAAAGATCCACGTGAAACCTGCATTTATCAAGAACAATTAACTAAGATTCTCCAAATCAGAAGTTCTGATAAAATTCTACCGTATTGACTAAAGCGTTGGGTTAAAGAAATTAGGAATACATAATAGGAAAATTATGGTCTGGAGCAGTAAATGTGGAGTGGTTGTGCTTTACATCTAAGGTTCTAAGTAAGAGCAATCAGGCATTTGACAGGATTTACGTGAAAAGAACTATATCATGGCAGAAGAAGATTAGAGATTGTAGCAGCTAGTCGCGAGTGGTGCCCCGGAGAGGCGCCGACGAGCGACTAGCTGCTGCACTGGGTTATCTCCAAAAGTGTCGCTTTGAAATTTTGGAATTTATTTAATAACGCCAACAGTAGAGATCAGATGGGTCTGAATAAGGAATGCCAGATGCAAAAATCTGAAAAAAAACTGTGCCAAGTCAAGGATGAGAAATGGTTTTTGTGTTTGGACAAAGTAACTGAAAGGTTTGTCAGAATAAAAGTATTAATGAAAGAGTTTATATTTGTGTTTCGGCAGTGGACATGAATTAAATAAAAGAATGTTTCCTTTGATATATGTTTTTCTTAGTATTTATTCAAGTTTCTGAATGTCTGTTCATATATTCAAATTACGAGTCAGGTGTTATCAAGTCTTTCAATGAGACCTTGTTGTTTGTATGATATTTTGATTATATATCAGGTAAAATAGGATTTATTTTAAGCTATGGTTCCACTGACGTGAGCTTCTATTTTCTTGGAAAACGCTATACTAAACAACATTATGGACGAATGTTTCCTAGCGTAAACAAACTTCTAGTAGAATTTTCAAAAAGGGTGTGGGTGTGGGTGTGGGGTGTAGGTGTGGGTGTGGGTGGGTGTGGGTGTAGGTGTGGGTGCGGGTGTGGGTGTGACAAATAAGAAGATCGAGGCACCCACACCCACACCCACACCCTACTCACATTTTGAACACATAAAAACTTATAGCCTATTATATGTATAGGGCACCCCCCTTAGCAAAATCCTGGGTACGCCACTGATCGGATCTCATGCTTTCGTGAGATTTCGTAATATTCCACAGGATTCCAGGATTCCGTTTTTTCCCGCTGCCACAACCATACCCACACCCTATTAGCGAGACGAACATCTATGAATGAAAATCTATTCGAAATCTTTGATTTTCTCATGTGTGAACCAGAATCTAATCTATACTAACAGTAGCAATAAGCTTTTTGCTCCGCATAATAAACTACATATTCTACAAATTACGAAACTTAAGTTGTTTGTTTTTGTGTTACCCTAAGCAGCAATCTTACAACGATAAAAAAGAATGAATGAATAAAAGGAAACTCAGTACGAAAAATTTATTATTGCGTAAGTAGATTCAATACTAGTTGCCTCTTGATATTTCAGGATATCCAAGTTTTTTTTCGTCCAATGCGATGTATGACGATTAATTCGCTAGTGACAATAAATATTTATCAATAAAACTGTAACTACTACAAAAGTACCATTGTTGAATTTAAATGGCAAAATCTTTAATTTGCTCTCTTGTTTGTCATACGTTTTCTAACAAATTGATGTATCTTTCTAAGCATTTTCCATGATTTCCTAATCATATATTCGCTACTTAACTCAAGATTCGGAAGACAAGATACATTGAATGGTTGTCTTTGAAGAATTATATGTCAGCCTTATTTCAGTGGAACTGTTTAACATAGATTCTTTTGCACATATTTATTGTTCTAATAATGACAGTGAATCATTGATTTTTAAAAATGTAATAATATTTTATAGGACATTTCGCTGAGGGATTTACGTTTTCTTTGTGTACAGTAAAAATTATGAAGGTCTTGTGATCATTAGGGGTTTTAGTACCACATTTTTAATCGAAATGATTATCATTTTATGATCCTTGTTTTAAAATCATTCAGTTTTAATGATAACAAGCTTTGATCAATATCGAATCAATCCAGCACCATCAATTGAATTACATAATTGAACTCAAAAAACAAACACATAATTCTAAATTATAGTAAAAAAGATATTTTACTTAATCATTCTCTCATCATTATTAATTTACACACCTTGAAAAAAATACAATAATATTTGAAGAATCATTCTATTTTTTGTAATTATTTTCAATTTCTTGAGTACGTCTTCTAGATTAGATTGGATTTATCAAAATAAAAGAGCTTCTTGTGTGGTTTTATTGACTTTAGATTATTCTTGTTTTTATGATGTATTATGCAGTATTTTAATTCAATAAAAAATAAAAACAAAAAAATACCCAATAAAATTAATAAGCTCGATGTTATTGTATGTTCTTTATAACGATTAATTCAGTTCTATTCTTTCCTCCGTGGTCCTTTTGAATGACCTTGAAAAATGCTATTTGTGTTTGGCATTTAATCCCTATACGGATTAGGTTTGTTAGTGTATTATAGTGTCACACTAAGTAAATAGAGAAAAGCCTTGATAATATGGTTGAATATTTATCTTTATTATCTTTTCTATTCGGCATAAATAAGAAGCACAATATTCATTTGGTTCAAATCGCTAAAGAATTTAACACGAAGTACAAAACAATGTCTTACTACGCACTTTTCATTGCTCTTACGCTTTTTACAGCAGTTTCACATGGTAAACCAACAACATTTCGAGGAAATCAACCAAAACCATGTTGTGTACCCAACCAATTTAGTGCTCTTATCAGTTCATCGACTGTCGGCGAAATACCAAATGCTGAAACGGTGGCTACTTATGTAAAACTATTTTTATCGTATTAAACTTCCTCTAAGATTTGTTCTATGAACTAAATAGGGTGTTTTTAATATTTCATACGATTTAAATCGTGATATGGTTGCAGCGAAGGGTATAGCTTATTCAGTAATAGACCAAAAGAACTTAAGTCTATGGCTTATTGAAAATATTGCTGAAAAACAAAGTTATACAATAGATTTAGATACAAAAGAATGTGTAAAAGAACCAGTTCTAATTCAAGCATTTCGTTGCATACCGGGTAATTAAAATTTATTTGTTATTAATTGTTTTAATTTAATTTATTGTTATAATCATAAAACTATTTTTTTATTGATTATATTGTAGAATCTGCAACTTATTTATATTCATCTATGTATGGTTACGATAATAACCAATTTAAAGGAGATACATGGTATGTAGAAGATAAGGATCTAGTTAGTTTTGTAACTGTTAGTGGCGACGGTAATTGTCTTCTAGTCGGTGCTAATACTTTTGTTGGGAATCCTCGTAAGTAACAGCTTCATCAAAAATTATTAAATTTTTTATTGGATTATTTTAGGTATAGTGAATTCTGTAACAATTTCAAATTATGTACCAAAAATTAATGATCCAAGTATATTTGATATTCCAGACGAGTGTAAAAATGCTGTTTAGATTACAATATATTACTAGAGGAAGACATTTACGGAACCTTTTTTTTAGCTAGAAAGTTGATATCTTTGGTTGAAATAAAAGAAATATAGCTTTAAAAAAATACTCATAGTGCACTAGAAGTCGAAAGAATATTGTCAATGACACAAAAAAGCTTTTAGTGTAATTACTATTAGATCAAACCTGAAAACGGAATGATATTGCTGATATTGTAAATTAAGAATTTCACTAACACAGATTCTACATAATTGGTGATTGTTTCAACTGTTTTTTTGTCATGTTGATCATAAGATACCACAATACTTTTATATGACAGTCAGTGTAGAAAAAAAAGTAATAATTACTGGATATGTTGAATTTAATTTATTGACACACAAATCTTAGACTAGCATTCAAGTTCATGGGCAGATTGATCCTGGCTTCTTGGAAGAAAGTATCAATATTTTAAGGATGTCAGTGTACAGAAAGAAAAGATTGACACCCACACCCATGTATGGAACCATTCGTTTTTGTCATTTTAAAAAAGCAATGTTAGTCGTTAAGAAATAACACAGTAGCAGTCTCCTTAACCATGTCTTTGATGAAGATCTATCGAATAGATGGATAATTAGAGTGTGGATACGGATGTGCATGAATGTCAAATACACTACTTACACATCCATACTCTTCAAAAAATAGTATCATATTGTGGATGTGGGTGTGGGTGTGGGTGTGGGTGTGGGTGTGGGTGTGGGGTGTAGGTGTGGGTGTGGGTGGGTGTGGGTGTAGGTGTGGGTGCGGGTGTGGGTGT